ACCAGCAGCGGCTGAATCAGGGACGCCTGGGGCAGAGCCGGACTATCGTAAGGGGGGGCTATGAGGGGTCTGGGGTGGCATCCCCTCCCACCCTACTCCAGACGCCTCATAGCCCCCCCTTCTGATAGTCCCGCATATCTGATAATCCGGCACCCCCTGGGTCCTAAAGGTGCCAGATTATCGGAAGTTTACTGTAGCAGTTTCTTTATGGTATAAAATGTCACTGAAACAGTTTGGGGGAGAAAAAGAATTTGAATGTTACTTTCTGTTTTCTTCAAAGTCGTCTTCACTGTGCATGGCTGGTGTGCATGCAGGAGTGGTGTCCAATATTCTGGGGGGCCAAATCAGTGTTGTAATCAGCAAAGGCATTCCATATTATGAAAGCTCTTTGGCTAACAATGTCACCTCAAAAGTGTAAGTATATTTGCCATGCTGTATTCATATATTTAATGCTTACCTCTGGTTTTCATCTCCTATTACCAAATCTGTGATCATCAGTTGTGTCAAAGGGAAAATTATAGTAAAATTACTCATCCATAGGAAGAGCAGATTCTATTCTAAGTAGGTTTTTATGCTGTACTAGTCATTTTTGTAGTATATGATTTCCTGTCCAAATTACTGGAACATCTATGCCATAAGTGAAAAATAAGACTTCATTGCAAAACTAGGGAATTTTCCTGCAAAATTATGCAGCATGAACATAAACTCCTAATAGTTTTTTGTTCTAAATAATAATAATCAGGGCTCAACAAATAATGTAATCTACTCACCTGTGGCGCGCGCATTACAACCTGGAAGAGCCAGCGCAGAGCGATCTGCGCATGCACAGAATGATCTGCACATGCGTAGAGCGCAGAACCGTGTGAAACCACGTGGCTGGTGAGCGGGGCTCGCCACCACTTGGTGAGCCCTGATAATAATAATTATTTGATTGAATATATGCTTGTCTTGCTTGCTACTTTGTAGTTTGTTGTTCATATATACAGGCAGTCCCCGACTTACGCGGATCCGACTTACGTCGGATCCGCACTTACGAATGGGGCTTTCTCGCCCCGGAGGTCGAGGTAGCGGATTGCTACCTGCGAGCTCTGGGGCGAGAGAGCCCCGTTCGTAAGCTGTTCTGGTGCCCCATGTCTGCTGGAGACCGTCTCCAGCAGACCAA